GGCAGCCAGAAAAATAATAGGATGGATTATGAGAGAGCGTTCAAATCCAGAGACCCCACGGGAATGCTAATATTGTACTACTGTATTTAAATCACTGGTGCTGTCCTGTCTTGAGTATTGCCCGGTACTCACTTTCCCTTTCAGAACAGTAGAGATCTCTCAGAGGAAATACAGAGAACGGCACACATAGAAACGATAAAACATCTAAATTATTGGGACCGTCCCAAAGTTCTAAAAATGTAATCTAGGGAAAGAAGATGAGTAAGGTATCAAATAATATACAGTATGCAGTACTGTACATGGAAGTTACTTAAAGGCCAGGTCCTAAATTTGCACAGTAGAATAATAACATACTGGAACAAATGATATGAAAGGAAATGCAGAATAGAACCAGTGAAGAGTAGAGGTGCCATAGGCACAGTCAGAGAGCACCGTCTGAACATCAGAGATCCACAGCTGTTCAACACCCTCCCAGCAAGCATTAGAAATATTGCTGGAACAAAGGGTGGATGTGTTCAAGAGGCACTTAGATAAGTTCTTGCTAGAAGTGCTGGACCAACAAGGTTGCAGTGGATATGTGGGCCTGCAGGCCGCTCCAAGCAACAGCCATGTTGGACCAAGTTACCACAAGTTGATCTTGGTCTTGAGCAGAGCTTGGGAGGGTAGAAGAACTCCCATAATCTTCAGTTATGCTCCTGGTGACCCCATCTGGGTATTTTTTAAATTTTGTTATTTTTTCCAAATTTTAATATTTTATACAAAATGAAAATATGAAATGTAGAATTTAAAAAATTAAATCCTAGTATCACTCACAACTTAGGCCTAAGTCTCAGTAATACCTAAAGTGGTAACTGGTTGGTTAAAACCATTTGTGAAACTTACAAACCAATAAATTATGCTTAAAAAAATACATGGAGTGATACCAGTCACATCCGTTACCCTTTCTATGGATCTCTAAATGAAACCGATGCGATTAGGTTGGAAACTCCGGTAAGTAACAAAGTACAGCGGGGCCTCGAATTACAATTTTAATCCGTTCCCAGAGACGGATCGTAAGTCGAAATACTGTCTCCACTCGATCATCCGGACTATATGGGAAGGACCCCCAGCCGGATTATCACATTTTTCGGATAATGGTACTTTTTCACCTACGAGTCCAAAAGTGACCATTTCCAACTATTTTTATACTACAAACAACATAATTTGAATTGCCTTGCCACATACATTTATTAAATATTCAACTAGAAACCTCAACTTACCTTGTTGGTGTTCGTCTTCTTGATTGATGCCACACATCTTGAAGTTAAAAATTCTTAACAATTTACGTAACCTATACTAACACAACACTAAAATTAACACTTAAAATTACTGTACAGTTCATTAAGCTAAGTTAGTTTTGACTGCCAGCTGCTGAAGCCTCACTGGTTGAGGGCATTTGGGTTGCCTGTGAGGCCTCACTTGTTGAAGGCGCTTGCTTGCACCTCACTTGTTGAAGCGCTTGCTTGCACCTCACTTGTTGAAGCGCTTGCATGCCCTCACTTGTTGAAGGCGCTTGGCTTGCCTGTGACGCCTCACTTGTTAAAGGCGCTTGCTTGCGCCTCACTTGTTGAAAGCGCTTGGCTTGCCTGTGGCGCGTCACTTGTTGAAAGCGCTTGGCTTGCCTGTAATGCCTCACTTGTTGAAGGAGCTTGGCTTGCCTGTGGCGCCTCACTTGTTGAAGGCGCTTGGCTGCCTGTGACGCCTCACTGGTTGAACACCACGTAACTTGTCTTTAATTGCTAGGACAATCTTCTTCCTCTTTACACTTCCAGAACGATTGATGCTGCTACCAGACATATTCTTGGCCAAAAATGTTCAAAATTACTATGAAAATTAAGAAAGTTATTTAAAAAAATATTTCACTAATGGCGCAACACTGTGAGGCCGCACTGGTTGAGGTGTATAACTGTGACTTGTCTTTTATTGTTAGGACAACTTTCTTCCTCTTAACACCTCCAGAACGATTGATGCTGCTACCAGACATAGTCTTGGCCAAAAATGTTCAAAGTTAATATGAAAATAAAAAAGTTATTTAAAAAAATATTTCACTAATGGCGCAGCACTGTGTATAACACGAGGGACGGACGCACATGGGTTGACCAGTGTTGGACGGGTCCACTTGGGATAGCGCGTTACGTAGGCCGCCAGGAGGAAAAAAATTCACAATATTTTTGAAGGAAACTTAAGCCTGTGCACAATGATTTTAGGAAACTTATTTATTTGTTATTACATAATTACTAGTAGTTATTTCATTTGTTTTTGGCTATGATTAATTGTTCTAAAATTATTGGTAATTCCTGTACCCAGGTGGTCCCTCCTGATGCACCCCTCCCACCCTCCCAACACCACCCACCCACCCCACCCCCCTCCTCCACCATGCGTCTAGAGCCACAGACGGGATTAATACGGTATGGCCGTATTTTCATCCGGCCAAACCAGCTTTTATCCGGTTCCTGTGGCCATTTTGGCCGGATATTGTGATAACTTTATCCGATCACGATTTTGGCCGTATAAGGGCGTTTTCCGGATGTTTGAATCCCGGATAATCGCGGGGTTACAGTATCGCAAGCCAAAACGAATTTTCCCATAAGAAATAATGGGAATTGAATTAATCCGTTCCACACCCCCAAAAATATTATCTTAAAAATACATTTTATTCTGAATACAATTTTATTCTCTAACTACAATACAGTACATAAGTTTATCTTGCCTTTATCAAGGAATCTTTTTGGTGTATGGAAGGTGGTGAGGAGAGGGGAGGAAGAGAGGTGTTACTGTTTGGAAGGGGAGTCCCCTTCCATTATAACATTAGGCAGTGATGACTTCTCTTGGGTACACTCTCCTATGTTTTGCCTGCATACCACTAGGACCTGGTTGTGGTTCATTGCTTGTTTGTCTCACTAAAAATTTGTCCATGGAGATTTGTTTTTCCCTTCGTTTTAACAAAGGGTAAAACACTGTTTTACTGTTTTCTGTACAGTAATGATGCATCAGTGTCATTGAAAAAGGTTAAGGCAATGGATTACTGCAGCTTTATTCGGGTGAGTCGTTTCAGCACAAGTTTGCAGGTCTTCCCACGTTGCACACATTTTCTTAATTTTTGAGGAATGGACATTCTGTACTGCCTCCTCCTCCCCTGAAGAAATTTCCTCAGCTGCCTCTATTGTCTTCCTGACATGTATTTTCATATGTTGAACTTTACCACTGACTTTCTTGGGACCCATGGCATGATTTATAATAATTACTTTTATGTTCAAAAAAGACAAAAAATCACCAGAATAATGGAATTTCTTACAAGTGTGATCGTCACTAAGTGGGCGGCTCTGGTAAACTGAGGCAGGTAGGCCCGTTCCCCCAGGAACCATGCCTCGGTCGACCTGAACGCGTATCAACGAATATCATTAGTCGACGACAGGATTAGGCCCGTGCCACCAGAAACCATGCGCTCGGTTGACCCGAACGCGTATCAACGAATATCGTTAGTCGATTACAGGATCGTAAGTCGAGTTACATTTTCCGACCAAATTTACATTGGAACTTGAAAATGTCGTAAGTAGGGACATTTGTAAGTCGAGGTGTTACTGTACAGTGTGGTAGCCAAGCAGGGTTATACCTCTACCTAGCAGCATGTAGTCTCGTGCAGAATGCGCATCAGAAGAACTTTGAAAGACTACAAGATTTGTGAAAATTTATGAAAAGACTACAAGATTTGTGATCTTGTCCACGAGATCTTGATCTCAGTACTGTATATGTGTAGATGTGTGTTCTATTATTTGCACTAACATGATAATTGTGGCCTACATTTAACAAAACATGTACAGGTACTTAAAAAATCAGCCCATAGTAGGGAAGCAGCATGTAAAGGATCTTGTAATAATGACGTCTGGTCTAATATTTGGCAAGCATAACCAAGCAAATATTGTATCAGCTAGAAAAATGATAGGGTGGATTATGAGAACCTTCAAATCCAAGGATCCCATCACAGTGGTTGTACTATTCAAATCACTTGTGCTGTCCCGTCTTGAGACTCGATACTCACTTCTCCCTTTAGAGTGCAAGAAGTTGCTGAAATAGAGGGAATACAGAAAACATATACGGCATACATAGACACGATAAAGCATCTAAATTATTGGGATTGTCTCAAAGCTCTCCAAATGTACTTCCTAGAAAGGAGATGAGGGAGATATCAAATAATATTCACATGGAAAACACTGGAGTGCCAGGTCCGAATTCTATGCAGTAAAATAACAACATACTGGAGTGAATGATATGGAAGAAAATGCAGAATAGAACCAGTGAAGAGCAGGGTGCTATAGGCACAATCAGAGAACACTAAGAACATCAGAGATACAAAGTTGTTCAACATACTCCCAGTGAGTATAAGAAATTTTGCTGGAACAAAAAGAGACACCTTCAAGAGAAAACTAGATAGTTTTCTTCAAGAATTGCCTTACTAACTGGGCTGTAGTGGATATGTGAGGCTGCGGGCCGCTCCAAGCAACAGCCGGTTGGACTAAGTTCTCACAAGTCTTGCCTTGGCCCTGGTCATGCTTTGGGAGTAGAAGAAATCCCAGAACCCCATACAGTTACAATCCAGTTACAAAACCTTGTGAAGATTATAATTATTGTTAGAAAATAAACTCAATTCATTTGCTATGGTTCTCCCACTGCAGCAGATAGGTTCTAGTATGAATCAATAAACTTTGGGCAGAATTAAATGTAGAGTACTGTTGTATATAATTGATAATCTTACAACATTTTGGTTTGGCAAAGGGGGTGAGAATAAACATCTTTTGTCATAATAATTACACATTACTGTACTGCACTTGCTTTGATCCTCGTGTATAACTACACAATGTGACTCATCTACCAGTCATTACAATTTTATAAATTGTATTTTATTATACTAAAGTTTGCAATTTGTATTCATATAAATATTAATAATTTGTAATCAATTTCAGGAGGAAATCAAATGGTATTGCCTGTAAACAGTGCCCATTTGAAATCTCCTTTAAGAACCATGGAGCAGCAGCAGCACACAGTGGTCACCAATCGATCATCACTCACTACCTCCCCAGTTGTTATACGAACACAGACCGGATCCTTAACTGCGAATCCTGTTGTAAGTTCAAGGATTTGCTCAAATAATATTCCCAAAGTTGAAATATTTAGTTTTGTGCCAAATACTGTGTAAGTAGCTGCAACATGAGCAATAGTTTTATCTACTGATTTACAGTATTTTAATCAGTTAAATAAGAGTAATAGCCATTAGCAAAAATTAGCCATGGAGTAGCCATTAGCAAAAATTAGATCAATTATGATGTTTCATCGCTGGGGGAGCTCCTTCAGCTCCCTGGAGCTATCCAGGCTGATATGTATATCATTAGACTTTGGCATCAGTGTGAATGGAGTTCTAGGCCGGGTTGATACCTGGATACCTGATCTCTTACCGGGGACCACGAGCCAGAACCTGGCCCTCTCAGAGAGGCACGAGCAATGGCCTATACAAATGCACATGGGATTTGGAACATTCTATGTCTGCCATTGACTGGGCCAGACACCCAGAAAGGTAAGTGCCTCAAAACAAACCCCTATTCTGGTTAAAACAACGAAAATAGACTAACGACTGGACAGATCTCCCCAATTGAAAACGAGCAAACGAGCATGACGTCACATGTGCCGTGCCACATGCCTGCACAGCTCCCCCCTCCCTGGAAGGGGGAAGGGGGAGCCCCAGACCCACTGCGTCTGCTATTCACCTGCCAGTTCTCGGCTGATGTGATTGTGGCTCAGTCGTGTGACTCCAGCTCCAGATTCTCACTTGTTGTGCTGTGCCTTGTGTCCAGTACTGCTCTTATGGTGGCGTGTGAGCTGTGAGTAATATTCGCAGGTAGTCTGGCTGCATGAGCTTAGAGGTTCCCTTCCCTGAGTGCCCTGTAAGTACTGCCCTTGGGGCTTCGGGATATCTTCCACAAGTCCCCTTGGGTCTACCTCTATTGGTCTTTTGCTGCTCAGTGATTGACCACCCTGGGTGTGTTGGGGAGTTTCCTCCCTTGTTTACCTTGGGGTAAGTGGTAGTGTTTGCACTGGTAGAGGCGCGAGGTACTGCGCATCTTGTTTTCACCTATTACAGCAGCCGGCTCGGTTCCTTCTGGGTACGTTTTCCTATTGTCGGGTTTTCTTTTCATTTTTGTTTGGGCCTGGTGGGGGTCTGCTTTTGTTCCCCTGCCTCCCTGTTATATTAAGGTCTTGACCTCCTGTTTTTCGGTGGTACTCTCCTGCTAGGCCCCCCCATGAGTGGAGCCGGTCGGCCGAGCGGACAGCACGCTGGACTTGTGATCCTGTGGTCCTGGGTTCAATCCCAGGCGCTGGCGAGAAACAATGGGCAGAGTTTCTTTCACCCTATGCCCCTGTTACCTAGCAGTAAAATAGGTACCTGGGTGTTAGTCAGCTGTCACGGGCTGCTTCCTGGGGGTGGAGGCCTGGTCGAGGACCGGGCCGCAGGGACACTAAAAAAAGCCCCGAAATCATCTCAAGATAACGTCTCGGGGTTCAGTTTTAGACGTTTCTTCGGTAGACTTGGGTGCTGGTTAGCAGTACCCTGCTTGGGCTTACCCTTAGCGAAAACAGTTTCCCTGGGAAACCCCGCAGGGGCGCAAGCGGTCCAATGGATGCGACCCCTGGGTCCCCCTCTTGCCTTGTGCGAGTTTGAGGGTTGCTCTGTCCCCTTATCTCAGGCCAACGCTCATTGTTTTTGCCTCCGTCATGCTGCCTGTTGGGTCAGTGACACCTTCGGCCCGGAGTCCTGTGAGCATTGTTGCTTGTTTGTGACTCCATTCACCCAATACACTGTTGTCATTATCCGGGTGCAGGCAGCTCAGGTGTTGCATGCTAGTTTAGGTTGCTGCAACGTGTTAGGTTGATTGTTACCCCGGTTGTTTTCATGTCTAAATACATGAAAATGAAGATCATATGCTATTCTGAGAGCATAACAACACCAAATGAACAGTTGGTGATATTTTATATTCTTGCAGCTGATTTCAAAATCTGTAGTTTTCAATATTCAATTTTATAATTTTTTTTACTTTCTTGTTTTTCAAGTTACACTGATATCATTTAGACAAAGTTGGAGCATTTGCCTAGTAGATTATGCACAAAACATTTGAAAGGGTTTCTGAAAATTTTAAAAACTGAGCTCAATGTCACACATCACATGACGTTTTGTGCAGTTTAACCCTTACACTGCTCAGGGGTCCTTGGGACATTTACACCCCTGTGCGCAAGAAAAAAAAAAATTCAAAATTTTTTTTTCGTCTTCTAAACATGTTAATTTGTGTCCCCTGAGCACGGAAAAAATAAAAAAAAAATCGTAGGTGACATATTTTGGGCGCAATTGACCGAGGAAGTCTGGCAAAAAGTGGGCGTTGACAGTGGTCGTCAGACCAGGTCAGCGTCACCCGCGTTGACAGATGGGAGTTGCCACAAAGATATTATTACCTAATTGTTTCAATGTCTCTGATTGATTTTTTCTTAGTTTTTTTGCAGTAATATTATTCAATAGTGTGTATTGTAATATATTTATATAATAAAAGTGGTTAATAATCGCTATACTCAAAAGTATGATGTGAATATTAGTGATTCAATTATTATGTTTATAAAACTATAAACAAATAGTTTTGCTGCTATTACACTCTATACACAGGTTATATATAAGTATTGGCATGTTTTGGTCACCATAACGAACCACTAAGTTGGTATTGAGAGTCGAAAAGCAACGAGGAGTTACCGCCACACACCAGCCAGCCACTCGCTGCCACTCCCTCAACACACGCACTAAACTTTCTCCCCCAACAATACCAGTTGTGGTGTTATTACACTATATACAGACGTTATATATAAGTATGTGTATATTTTGTTCACCACAACTGTACAGCTAAGCTGATATAGTTAGTTCAGGCACTAAGAGACGTCGCTATACACAGATGGCGGCTGGCGGCTCCCTCACTCATTCAAGGTCACACGCACTAAACTTTCTCCCCCAACAATACCAGTTGTGGTGTTATTACACTATATACAGATGTTATATATAAGTATGTGTATATTTTGTTCACCACAACTGCACAGCTAAGCTGATATAGTTAGTTCAGGCACTAAGAGTCGTCGCTATACACAGATGGCGGCTGGCGGCTCCCTCACTCTTTCAAGGTCACACGCACTAAACTTTCTCCCCCAACAATACCTTTTGCAGTGTTATTACCCTATATACACATATTTTATATAAATATCTACATGTTTTATGCACCGTAACTGTACACCTAAGCTTGTAGTGCGCCCAAAGAGCATAGTGGCCACCCTCTAAACAGCTAGACAAATCGTGCAGACGACGTCACCTCCGTCACCCATATGGCTCCTCCCAGCATAATCCTTTTGCTGTTATTACACTAATACACACATTATATATAAGTATCTACATTTGTAATTACCTAAGTGTAATTACCTAAGTGTAGTTACAGGATGAGAGCTACGCTCGTGGTGTCCCGTCTTCCCAGCACTCTGTCATATAACGCTTTGAAACTACTGACGGTCTTGGCCTCCACCACCTTCTCACTTAACTTGTTCCAACCGTCTACCACTCTATTTGCGAAGGTGAATTTTCTTATATTTCTTCGGCATCTGTGTTTAGCTAGTTTAAATCTATGACCTCTTGTTCTTGAAGTTCCAGGTCTCAGGAAGTCTTCCCTGTCGATTTTATCAATTCCTGTTACTATTTTGTACGTAGTGATCATATCACCTCTTTTTCTTCTGTCTTCTAGTTTTGGCATATTTAATGCTTCTAACTTCTGCTTCTAATTTAATGCTTCTATTTAATGCTTTAATGCTTCCTCGTAGCTCTTGCCCTTCAGTTCTGGGAGCCACTTAGTAGCATGTCTTTGCACCTTTTCCAGTTTGTTGATGTGCTTCTTAATATATGGGCACCACACAACAGCTGCATATTCTAGCTTTGGCCTAACAAAAGTCATGAACAATTTCTTTAGTATATCGCCATCCATGTATTTAAATGCAATTCTGAAGTTAGAAAGCATTGCATAGGCTCCTTGCACAATATTCTTTATGTGGTCCTCAGGTGATAGTTTTCTATCTAGAACCACTCCTAGATCTCTTTCTTTATCAGAATTCTTTAAAGATTTCTCACATAATATATAGGTTGTGTGGGGTCTATGTTCTCCTATTCCACATTCCATAACATGACATTTATTAACATTAAATTCCATTTGCCAAGTGGTGCTCCATATACTTATTTTGTCCAGGTCTTCTTGAAGGGCATGATATAATTGAGGGGGTCTTCCCTGCTGCCATTTTTGTAGATTGGAACTATGTTAGCCTGTTTCCACACGTCTGCTACGATTCCTGTAGACAGGGATGCCTGAAAGGGATGCCTGATTTGTGTTCACCATAGAGAACCACTGACCTGGTATGGTGAATGCAAACAATAACAGGTGGCCACACAGTCAGTAAACGATGCTGTCTCCCTCCGTCTCTCAGCATCACTCCTTCCACAGCGCTAATTATTACAACAATCCTGCTATTATCACAACCCTGGTTATTTATATCACAGTCATTGGTCATTTGTAATATTGTCATCGCTAAATAATAACAATTATATATTTATTTTGACATTTTTCGGCGATGCTGTGGTCACAAGCTGAACATCAATGCTGTTCGCTCATGCTGCGTGCGCCGGCCTTGGTTGCTCCAACAGTACTGTGCCTCTCACACCTGAGAATATTGCCCACGATTTTTTTTTAAAATGGCATCTGTTTACGAGAGCCCTGAGGAAGCTACTATGAACCCCGTGTAGCCGTGGGCCATTTGAATCAGGCCTGGCACCCTATGGCGTATATATACGCCATGCGCACCATGGGACATGTTACTCAGGGCGTATATATACGCCATGCGCAGTTTAAGGGTTAAGGGTTAACCAGAATAGGGGGTTTGTTTTGAGACGCGCTTACCTTTCTGGATGCCTGGCCTAGTCGATGGCAGACATAGAATGCTCCAAATCCCATGTGCATTTCTATAGGCCATTGCTCCTCGTGCCTCTTTGAGGGGGAGGCCAGGTTC